GTATCCCCGATCCCAGCCGCCCTGAGCTCCATGCTGTAGCGCACTTTGGTTAAGCCCAGGGGTTTCAGAGTTCAATGACCTAGTGGGAATCCTGGCTCTGCCGTTGCCCAGTTCTTTATTCATTCGAACCCTTCCTTTTTTATAACAGTACTTATTTCATGGGATTAGATGAGCATATTCATAAAGCACTGATCAGGTACCATGTATTTGGTGCATAGTGGTCGATAAATGGAAGCTACGAATTATTATTATTACACTGCTGGGTACAGCCTTTCTCTATTCACCAAGATGTGTTTGTTTTGACAAGCCTCCTAGTTGGCTTCTGTCTCAGAGTTTTCTTTGAGAACAATGAGAATTTTAAACATGTTTTCATCCTGAATGACCAAATCCTAATCCCTCCATGTTTAAAATAAAACAAATTGAAGTACAAACTCAAAAAGCAGTTTTCAGACTCCATCCCTCCGGTTAATAGCCAGTAGACCTTTTGGGAATTAGAAGCTAATACATCATATCAGAGACTAAAATGTAAAATCTTCTAAAGTGGTGTAAGACACATGGGTCTGAAAATCTTTTGGACCTGAAATTTTTCCACATCAGCCCAGTGCCATTTCATTATGGTTACACCTATAGCCACACTTCTTTGTTGACAAATAGACTTAAAAAAAGTTTTTCCCCAAGTTTTTCAGTATCAGACATACATGGTCTTTCCAGACTTTAATCTCAGGGTTATGGTCCCCCATGGCCACCACACAATACACACCAGCCTCCCTCCCTCCTCTCTTGGTTACCAATTAGAAATGGGGAATGGCTAAGAGCTTTGGCTATGGAGTCAGACCTTCTCAGTAGTCAGTCATGTGACCCTGGGCAAATTACCTACCAGCTCTAGAACTTGATTTCGCCATGTTTAAAATAGAGATAGTTATAATACCTACTTCCATAAGATTATGGTCAGGATTAAATAAGGCAATATATTTAAAGAGTTTATGGCACAGGAACTGGCATTTAGTAAGAGCTCAATAAATGCTATTTTTTAAACATCTTGTTAGTTGGGAGAGAGTAGTCTAGTAGCTAGATCTGCATCCAGTATTGCTCTGCAGTAAGTTTCCCCGGAAACATACACTGTGCTAAAAACAAAAAGGTCTGACATATTATGAATATTTTTCTTTAGGCTCCGCAGCCAGCCTGGTCCCTTCAGACCTAGATTCTGGGTATACACCTAAACACATAACTGATATAAATTGACCTAAACAGCCGGGAACTCTGTAGGTGCCTCTACCACAGCTGGGAACAAAGCTGCTCCATAGAGGAAAGGTGTGCACATGAGAGGATTAACGGGAGTGTGGTCTGTGCTGGCCAGATCCTCAGCAGCTGAGCGATGCACCCCAGGCTCCCCCAAAGTCTTCCTGCAATTGTACCAGGAATGTCACCTTCTTCCACTCCCAGCTGATTGCTCAGCTCCCCTTTACACTGGGATGCACCCTCGCCAGGAACACAACACTAACAGCTTCATCTTTAAAAACGAATAGGACCTCTGCCCAGGGTCTAAAGGAAAACACCCCTCTTAGGACATTAAAATAGATGTAGTAGAGAATAATGCTTAAAAGCTTGATTCGGGATTCAGACAAGCTCTAGGTTCGAATCTTGGCTTCAGTACTTTTCAGCTGTGTGACTTTCAATACGTTGCTTATCCCTCTGAGCCTCTATTTCCCTATCTGGGGGCAGGGCTGACAAGTGTCTACCACAAGGGGTTATTGTGGGAGATAAATAAGATAATGTATGTGAGGTAATCAGATGAGTGTCTGGCGTAGAATGTGTGTTTAATAATGATAGCTATTAACAGTAGCTTTGGTATCATTAATAAATGAATTTTGCTGCTCCTTCACACTCTCTTGAGATTTTTGGGGGACTCCACATTCACGGAGAAATCTAAGTTCCTCTGTCGCTAACAGGTTTCCTTAGCCAAGTACATGGAGAGCAATAGCCTGGTGACATTAAGGCAAAGGTGATATTAAAAAATTAAAACAGGCCAACCTAATTGTCCAGACTGATGAAATTATTCCTAGTTTAAAGATTTTCAAGCCAGGTTCCCAACAGCCCTTCAGATAAACACTTACTACTACTGTCTTCAGATTTTTGTCCAGAAGTCAATTAAATTCAAGCATCATTTAAGTAATTATTCCATGTCAGGCGCTCTGCTAAGGACTAAAGATTCAGAGACGTATAAGACACACTTTTTTGCTCAAGGAAATAGTAACCGTTTAGTTGTTGTCCTTTTACCTACAAAATCTCCCAGAATCATCTTCTCTACTCCATCTTTCTCCACATCCTTCAAGATGCTTCTTAATCTAGTTCTGGGTGAGAACTTCTCTCTCTTTGAGCTTTCCACTATTCACCTAACTCCACCCTCCTTCAGCTCTCACACAACTCAACCATATTACTAATTTTCAATGTTCTCTATATAATGCATATGAATCTCATCTCCCCAATCAGATTATAAGTAACTCTAGGGCATGAGTCTTCTATTAGTTCAATTTATATTCATGTAACACCTGCCATTCTGTTATTCTTCCTTTAGATCATCAATGATGTTGGTGAATGAAATTTTTTGAGCTTGTGTGAAACATAGTTTAACTTATCTCTCTAAGTCAACTGGGTATGAGATAGATTCGGGGCAAATTGCTACTTTCCCACACCGTGTCACCTGATTCACTTAGGAAATTTCCTTTCTCTTTTTGCTGTCTAATTCTCCTTCTTCCACAGTGTTGACGTTGAACACTAGATTGCTGATTTCCACATGGAAAATGCCATTCCTATTTTTGCATTTGGTCTTGAAAAAACTCAAATCACTATCATCCACTTGGAAAGCCCTCTAGGGCAGCTGCTCAGCACATTTGCAACTCAACGGTCATGCAAGAGGGGAAGTGGAAAGGATTTTGCCCCCATATCATCCTAAAGGGGAAATGTGCATCTCATCCTAGGTTAAACAGAATTGTGCCTATTAAGTCTACAAGGATTCTCACACTTTAGAAAAATATCCCGATTTCTCTGAAATCACGTATTTGGGATCTCTTTTCACCATAGAACACCAGAGGTATTATTCTTATTACTGTAATGCCAATGGGAGTATTGGGACTATTCTCACATCGAAGTGCCATCCATGGGGCTGTGGACAAATCAGTGGTAACATTCACCCAACTGAAATTGTACTTGTTATGACTGAACACTTTTACTTCTTCATAGTCTTAGAAAAATGTTAAAGAAAGAGACAAAAACAACCTCAGTATATAGGAAAATATCCTCTACCCTTGAATACCTGCCTGTATGTGGGAGTGAGTGAGCAAGGCTGAGGCACAAAGGATGTCTGATTGTGCTTGTGTGCACGTGGGTGTGCACATCTGTGTATGAATCAGAACCTTTCCGAAGGGAGGGAAATGCTTAATCCTATCAGTCAAACTGGTGAAAGAGGTAACCAGCTCTGGGCTATTTATAGACCTTAAATTGGCATGTGCTGTACATATTGAGTACTTTGCTGATCTCATTTTTTAGAGCAATTGAAATAAAGGAGAGGCAAAGAAAAGGTAATGAGAGATTCAGATCATGGCTGTAATTTTTTAAAATAACATTGCCTTTCTTACAACTGTAGATGCCTGGAAAACTTCCCAGGTCAGACAATTAGATAAAGTGGGATTCCATTTTGAAAACAGAGTGGAGATAACATGATCACTGAGGTCTGGGTGTAGAGGTGAAGAGGATTATCTGCACTGATTTTACTTGATTTCAAGGATGTTCTCCAGTGTCACTATTGCTCAGGTGCCAAAATGTCTCTGTGCTACTGCATGAACCCTGGGGTCACCCAGACAAACTGGTTCATGGGCACCAGGACACAATAAGCCTTCAAAAGGAACTCTGGAGAGACAACACAGAAACATATCTGGCCTGACCGCACTGCACCCCTTTCCCTGGGAAGAAAGTAGAGCCCTCCACCAAAGACAGCAGAAGAAACTCACTCTTGGAAGTGAGGACACTAATGAGCCATTGCCCATCCATCTCCAGGGCCTGTCTGGAAAGAGGAGGATGTGTTGTCTAGAGATGGAGCCATATTTGGGACCTCCTGCCCGGTAGAGCATAGTTAGGGGGTTGGAGTGGCCCACACTGGCACTCTCAGGGACACCCACGCTACCCAGCTTCAAGTGGGACACCCAACTCCCAGCTGGGACACATTTTACTGGTCAGTTCTTCCTTGACTTCACATGCTAGGTACTCCCATATCCCTTCAAGAACCTCACAGGGACTTCTGTGCGTGTTAAGAGACAGGTGGACTCCACTAGGCAACTAGAGAAACTGCAAACTATACATTTACAGAAAGGCCCAATCTGTTTCTTCTTTTCTTCTATAATTTATTTCCTCATCTGTAAAATGGGAATAACAGCCCTGTCACATCTACTTCACAAAGTGATAGGGCTGAGTAAGGTGGAAAAACTATAGAAAGGCAAGGCATTATTACTGCCTTTGTAGCTATTTTTATTATTACACATCCCCTAGGTGCATAGTTTCATATAACATAAAACAACAAAATAGCTACTAAATATATCTCAAAAGCCAGTCCACAACCTGCTGAGACGGCTGCATAAAAGCTTGTTAAAAATTCAGGTTTCCAAGCCCCACCTTAAGCCTACTGAATCAGAACCTTCAAGTGTGGAGCCCAGAGACCTATGTTTTCAACAAGCTCCCAGGCAATGTTCCATTGGGAGCAAAGTTCCCCTGTTTGCTCCATTCTATGAACGCTGGACAGAACTGCTCAGCCTGGTTTGGGGGAAGAGATGTAATGACATACACCGCTTCCCATACCTCTCAAACTTGACCAGTAGGGGTAGGTTACAGCAAAGGTAGATGACAGTCCTTTTCTAAGGGAGTAGGATAGTGCTTTAGAGGGGTTAAGGTTCCACAAGAGGACCACCAGACGGGGAGGAGTGGTCGGTGGGAAAAGGAATTGGACTCACCTACAATGATACCACAAGCACTGACCAATCCAATCTGTTTCTTCAGGGCTACTCCGCCCCCTCCGGAACCAGTCTCGGGGCTGGCGTCCGACTGGCTCCCACCCGGGTGGTTCTTTTCAGTGTTGTTTCGGTGCCTGGCTCCTTTTTCCATCTTTCTCAGTGGGATTTCAACCTCCGAAAGGTATCTCTCCTTCTGAATGCGTGTGGGTGTAAATATATTTAGAGAGAGAGCCTTTCAAATTGAAACGTCCTTTTCCGAAATAAGGACCACTCCTACCCTCTTAAAAAAGACCCAGGCGGATAAAAGAGTAAACTGAAAATACTCCTACTCCGTATTGACACTTTCTTGTCATTCGTGCTTACAAGCAAGGAAAGTGTTATTAAAAGGGGGGGAAAAGACATAGATATTTAAATATAAAAATAGAACTGTACCAGCTCCTCTGGCTGGAATTCTCGTGAAAGGGATGTAGATCTTCAGAAACCAGGATGGTTCTGCAATGTGTACCAGGCAATGGCTTATTTCAGACGCTTCAAAGAGACAGTCTGAATTTCCCTCAGCTCTCCCCCTAAGAAAACAGAGATTGTTTTTACCTCCCCTTAGCCTTTTCTTTTATGATGAGGATAAAAGTAGTTTTCATTAACTGAAGGGAAAAAAGAGTAATCCTCCGGTAATTCTCTTCCAGGAAAACGATTGTGGACCCGACCGGTTTGCTCTAGATCTTGTTTCCACCTGCTGTGGGTTTCTTTTTCCCTCCCCGTCTCCTGCCTTCCGCTTTCTCCAGATGTCCCCTTCTGTCTCGCTTGTCTTCTTGTCCTTGGTTTTCTTCTTCCGATCTCCGTCCTCACGGCACAGGCTGCCCCATCTCTCGTGGTTACAGGAGAGTGGCTCTGGCACACACGAACGTGCTTCCCTTTTAGCAAGGGGTTTTATGCGCTGAGCTAGCTCCGCCCCCACCTCCTCGGTTCCTCTCCATCCTCGCTCAGACCGTCTCCTCGCTCCTCTTCAGTTTAAACATTAGCACACAGCCCCTAAAGATCACCGAGAAGATGGATTAAAATATTTCTCTTTGTAATGGTCTCTCTTTCCCCATCCTTCACCTTGTGAGAAGTGGAAGTAAAATCCATCCATGTTAACTGTTCCAGGAGAGTTCATTTAGCTAGTATAGCGTTTATGAGCTTTATAATGGTCATACAGCATTTGTGAGCTTTATAAATAAAGGACTGGTTGTGCAGACACTTTAATGCTATCAGAAATACACTGGCAAATGTATTAAAATATTTATGTCTGGATCATTTGAGGATACAGGAGAGAAGGTTATGGGGACATCATCGTCAAGTTTGTGAAAGTAGGGAATCCACGGGTGGGGGAGGGGAATGGAAAGAAGCGTAATGGAAAAGAGGTTCATTTAGTATAATTGTGAGCTGTGAAGAGTAGAGTGGTAACGAAATCACCAGGAAGAGGTGGTAGCCTCCCGGTTCACAGCTCTTATTTAGTGTTAGCTGAGACAGGAAAAAAATGACTCCCATCCTGGTTTCAGGAAAGAATGACACAAAATCTGACGGAAGGGAGACTTATACAACCTCTAATATTTTTTTTATTTATAAATTATTTGAAAGGCAGACCAACGAGGGGATGGGGAGTTATCAGTACCTCTCTGATCGTGAAACAGATTGTTGATGTTAAGAGATGACTAGCTTATTACCATATTGATATTGTGTCGAGTCCCTGAAGAATTTCACCCAGAAACTGCTGCCTCACAGGCGAGGGCAATGATGTCTATTTATAATTGTAAAATACTTTGAAAAAACAGCAAGAAGCAATATAGCAGACAACACTATAAATCTAAAATAAAATTATTTTGAATGTCGATTAAATACATTATGCAAATGTACTTGATTTTAAAGTGAGTCTATAAAATAAAGTTCCCCAAGCTGACCACTAAGTACAGAAATTTGGTCTCACTTTTTGGAAAATGTTCCCAAAGATTTTAGATTTTAAATAAAATAAATAATTACTTACAATGGGGATGGTTGAACTATTATGTAGCAAAGTCTTTTTCAAATGGGGTAAAGATCAATCAGCAGTCTTTTCCACTTTGCCCCTTGATCACTCAGCAAGTATTAAGAGGTTTCAAAGGTTGGGAGTTCAACCCCTTCTTCTTCTGCCAGTTCAAGATACAGCAAATTGAAAGCCTCAGCAAAAAAAAAAAAAAAAAAGTGGGGGTGGAGATGTATAAAGGATTCTTAACAAAAAGAACAGACAGGGCAGGGAAAATGTAGCACAAAAGTCCACGGGACGGGATGAGTCACGGGAAATTTAAAAATCTTGAAATGCCGCTGGCATTTCCTGACATCAGAAAGCACTAAGGAAAAGTTTGATAAATTCATTTTATTATATTCATTTATTTATTTATTTTGTGAGGAAGATCAGCCCTGAGCTAACATCCACACCAATCCTCCTCTTTTTGCTGAGGAAGACTGGCCCTGGGCTAAGATCCGTGCTCATCTTCCTCTACTTTATATGGGACGCTGTCACAGCATGGCCCGACAAGCGGTGCATTGGTGGGCGCCCTGGATCAGAACCTGGGCTGCCAGCAGCAGAGCGCACGCACTTAACCACTATGCCACAAGGCCGGCCCTGATGGATTAATTTTAAACAAGCCAATTTGAAGACTTCTGCTCACATTTCAACATCAAGGTATAAAACAAATAATCTTTCTGCTTCTCAACAGGAGTTCTTTCAGTAAAGTTTGTATTTCTAATTTAAATTATATAGATTTAATATGAGATAAATCATGAATGTGAATGAATTTGAGGTCTCTTGCCAAAACCAGTACAAACTGACCACAATATGGTAAACTTTAGCCATCTCAGTTTATGAACTAAGCAGCTAAGGGGAGTTATGGGATCAAATACATTCTTGGGATATAGTGGTGCTAAGCATATCAGATTGGAAAGGAAGGGTGGTTGAAGATTAACATTTCTATTTCTTTAGCACTTGAAGATTACAAGGGGCTTATGACTGTCTATAAATGGTACAGTGTAAAAGCTAGGAAAGGACTGTCCCCTCTTCAATGAGACCATTTATTCAGATTATATGGCTCTCTTCAGGTTGGGATCTTTTTGTGAAATAAACCCTAAGTGTGTCAAAATCCCACATGACTAACATTGAACACAGGAGAGAAAGAAGTCTTGGTGTAATATGTTGAGAAAAATCTCTGGAAATGATTAACTGAAGTTTCTTCAATTTTGAGCACTGAATACTTTTTTATTCATAACTCTATTCTACATTTGCCTTTCTGTCTTTTATTCTACTTTAAATAGTGCTTTACAGGCTACGAAGTGTTTTATGCACAATATCTCATTTTTTTTCCTCCTCACTAGATACTGTGGGTTGACCAGACAATTATTTTTCCCTATTTTAAAGTTAGGAAGCTGAGGCTCAGAGAAGTGTCTTACCGGAGGTCAAGGACCAGACACTTAATCTAGTCACGGATGAGCGGGATATCAATGGTTTACATTGAGAGCTTTCCCCAGGACACTATAGCTAGTTGCTGATGCCTTAACTTCTTTCGCCTGAAGGCAACAGAAGACCATTGTTCAGGGCAGTGTCCATGTCTTCTTGAGCTGGTGTCATAACTGTGCCTTTTAGAGATCCACCTTGATGCCAACACAGCATCTGTTCAGTGAGATCCACACAACTTAATCTGCCCTCCCCCTCAACATTTGTCACCCCCTTCACACAGCACTTGGTTTGGCCATTTTCCAAGTACTTTAGTACAACTCTGTTTCCAATATCTCGGTGATTGTTTACTGTTGTTTTGCATGCTCAAGATGGGGAGAAATTGATCCTTTTAACCAGGGAAAATGTGGGTAAGAGGGCTGTTGTCTCATGAGTATGGATTTAGGAAAAGAAACACTGTGTGAGACTGACACCTACCTCACAAAGAGAGATACGGCATGAGGATATGCTGCTTGTATAACAGTTGAACAAAAACCCTGTCATGTTCCAATATTCCCTTTTTGAAATAACAGGTAAATAGTATCTGTTAATGCAAAGAAATAGAGCACAAAGTTTATTCACTCTATTCTTGATTTGTTTTTCTGCACCCAATAGACAAGCATTTTCTTCTTCTTCTTTATAACAGAGCTGTGAAATCTGAGGTCACTAATAAAGGACCCCATCTCTTCCCAGAGGGAACTCACAGTCCATGCTCCCACTCCACTTGTCTTCTTCTCACACCTACATGCCCGGAGTCAGAAGGAAACCCTGATGTCAATTCAAGCCAACTTTCTTTCTAGAATCTCAGCAACCACTGCCAAACAGTGGCTTCCTGAGCTAGTGGTTCTAGGAGCCTTTACTTCATTAAAAAATGGAAAGCAGGGCCAGCCCCGTGGCTTGGCGGTTAAGTGCGCGCGCTCTGATACTGGCGGCCCGGGTTCGGATCCCAGGCGCGCACCGACGCACCGCTTCTCCGGCCATGCTGAGGCCGCGTCCCACATACGGCAACTAGAAAAATGTGCAACTATGACATACAACTATCTACTGGGGCTTTGGGGAAAAAAAGGAGGAGGACTGGCAATAGATGTTAGCTCAGAGCCGGTCTTCCTCAGCGAAAAAAAAAAAAAGAGGAGGATTAGCATGGATGTTAGCTCAGGGCTGATCTTCATCACA